CAAACATCTGCTGGGGACTTTGAAACCACCACATTCATTTTCTTATGATCTAAGCTGCAATTTAACTCAGGTCTCTGAAGATGAAAGCCAAGGAAGCCTCTGCAGAGAGCAGAACACTTTCCAAAGCAGTTCTCAGCTTGTGGAGCTGGGAACAGCTGGCCAGCTCTCCCCTTTGGGCCAGGAGGGCTTGTTGTTTCCAGATCCCTGTCAGACATCTGAGGAACCCCCATTTTTCTTTTTTTTTCTACGCCCACTCCCTGAGGCAAAGGCCAGCAATCCCTCCCCATCTGTCTGGAAAACCTGAAAAGAACCCTGAAACTTTTTTTTTTTTTTTTTTTCAGTAAACTGTCTGAGGTCTTCAGTCATTACAGAAATCGAAATAAATTCCCTTCAAAAGCAGCAGGACAAGAATCAGTCCTTGCTTGCTTGTTTATTTGTAGTAGAAAATGCCATATTTTTTGCTAAATTGTAACAAGGCCTCATAGTCAGTTTTACAATAGTTTTGTGGCACAGAATAGGATTTTATGAAAATGATACCAACGAATCACAAAGCTTTTGGTTTGAAGTAGATCTGGACCTGGATTTTTAAAGAACTTGTTGATGCCAAAACTAATTGTATTGACATCAGTGAAATTTTTTACAGAAAAATGTCCCCAGGCCCAGCATAAAGTCTCAGGCAATAGATATCTCCGAATAAGGAGTCAACATTGATCTGGGATGGAGGAAGCACAGATTTAGGTCTGCTCTCCGCATGATTCAGAGCCTCCCACAGCCAAAGTGAGTGACGTAGTCTCCAGACTTTTCTAATGCAGCTCTCAGTCTCTTTTAATGAACTCCTTGGAAAGAGGGCTTGTTTTTAATGTGGAAAAATGTAGAACGTAAAACCTCAAATATTTTCACCAGACAGAACTTGCATTCCTTGGCCAGCCCCAGCTGGAAGTTATTGTCAAGGTTGCTGTTCATCAAAGGACTCAAGCAGAAGGCAGAGCCTTATTCTGGTATTTCTGTAGCACCTGTACAGCGGAGCCCTGCTCCATGCCTGTGGCTCTTTGCTCTGACATATGACTCCCCAGAAACACACAAGTAAATAATATTCAATGCTAATCTCACAAATAGTCCCTTTAGGGCCACAGCTAATATGGTGCACTTAAAGTTAGGCATGTGCTCAATTATAAACTTATTACTAAATCAGAGGCCTTGTAGGCTGAAAATTTGATTAAGGAGTATTTCAAAATGAGAAAAGCCCCCAGATTAAATGGGGATTTTTTTCATACAAAGCTCAGACATATCAAATAATTTTGGCATATTCTTTTCACTTTTAATAAGCTTGTGCAAGCTATACCTTTGGAAATATCTTCAAATGAAGTCTATAAGAGAGTATACTTTTCAGATTTCAAAGAAAAAGAGAAGTCTGCAGTCAGTGTGTAAGAAATCCAAAGTTTTTTTCCAAGCGTTTTGTTTTTCTTAGTCTACAGTTTTTTAAGTTAAGATTTAATTAATACTTCATTATTTAAACCAACCACAGCATTAAATGAAACAACGTTGACTTAACCTTCCTATAACTCTATGTTTCATGACAGTTACCCCAAAGATTAATTAGATCTGCTTGACAAAACGAATTCATGATGTAAGTGGTGATAGAAATAACACTTTGAGTCGAAGCTACTCAAAAATTTCTTCTGTGAAGTGTTACTGTAATTAAGTACCAAAGTCGGCTCTGGTGGGAGCAGACCTCAGTATTGACACAGAAGGAGTTGCGCCCACGTGCAGGGGATGTGATCATTGCCCCTGACTGAGCCCATTTGGGATTCCCCACTCTTTGGTGGAATTTCAATCCACTAGTGAAACTGGAGTTGGGACAGGGGAAATGAGTGCACTGGATGGCTCACTGAAAACCACACTGAAGGGTTTCATGCCAAAGTACAGTGCATGATGGGAGGGTGTGATGCAGCCTGGATGGTGGGATGATGAATGAGGAGGAATAGAAGGGACAGTGATGATTGACTAGTTCTTCTAGGCTCCCTGAGTGGGCAGTGGAGAGACACCAGCACTGCCGGAGGCTTTGAGTGAGCTGCTCCCTGGTGTGTCTCTCCTCATGGATGAGGGGTAACGGTTTTAAATGGAAAGAGGGTAGATTTAGAATAGGTATCAGGAAGAAACTTTTCACTCTGAGGATGGTGAGGCACTGGAACAGGTTTCCCAGGGAAGTTGTGGGTGCCCCATCCCTGAAGTGTTCAAGGCCAGGCTGCATGGGGCTTTGAGCAACCTGATCTGGTGGGAGGTGTCCCTGCCCATGGTAGGGGGGTTGGAACTAGGTGATCTTTAAGGTCCCTTTCAATTCTAACCATTCTCTGATTCTGCGATTCATAGACCATGGTGGGAAGCCAGGCAGAAACAGGTAATGTAAGGAGATAAATAGGCACCTAAAACTGCACAGTGGAAGTACTTTCTACATTTTTACCTACTGCACGCAGATCTCCCCAGCACTTTCAGTACTATCTGACCCCTTGCAGAAACAAATATATTTTCTCTTTATAATTCTGATATGTTAATTAATAATTAAGCCTTTAAAATATGAATTCAAGCTTTAATTTTATCAAGCTTTGAGAAAGTTAATCCAAAACATTAATGAAAACAGGCCTTTGTAAATAAGTCCCCTCTTTGCCTGGAGGACACAAAGTATTTCACATAAGAAGTTTATTTGTAAAATTGGCCCTGGTCCAAATTTAGATACATAAGTGTTTGCTTAATCTTAATGAGATCCATAATGTGCTTACAGGTAAATGCATGTTTAAACATATCGTTGGGAGAAAAAAAAAAAGAAGGCTGAGGCAAATCAAGGGGGTCATCAGACTGAAAAATAACCAAGGGGAGAAATACAGTTTCTTGTCACCTGGAACTGTTCCCTGTTGTTGTTCACCACTAGCTCTTACTAGCCCAATGGAAAAGGTGATGTGGCCCTAGGAGCAATTAGCCAGGGCTGAAGGCTGCTTTACCCTCTTAGCAAAGTGCAAATGGAAAGATAGCTCAGAAATCACTCCCTTAAATGTTTCTTTGTTCTAGATATGATTAGAACCTTTTGCTTTTTTCCTCTGACTCTTTACACATATATGTAAGCTATTTATACTACTGCTGGTGGGGAAGTACATTTTTCTTGTTGTACAGAATGTTGACTTTTCACTGAAAAAAATCAGTCTCCCCCAGAAACAAAACATTTTCAGCTGAGAAACAAAATTTTTCTGGGTTTAGTTTTCTTATTTTTTTGACAAAAGTCAATATTTTCCACAGAAAGCTAATATTCTTGGTGAGGTTTTTTGCATTAAAAACAGTTTCACTCTTTATACTTGTCATGGTTTAACCCCAGCCAGCAACTAGGACCATGCAGCCACTCGCTCCCCCCAGTAGAGTAGGGAAAACAGGGAGAAAAGCAAGGAGAAAAAAAAATCGTGGGTTGAGATAAAGACAGTTTAAAAGAACAGTAACGGAAGAGGGAAAATTAATAATAATAATAAAAAATAGTAAAAGAATATACAAAATAAAGTGATACAACAAACACAATTCGCTCTCACTACCTGATGATCAGCTGCCCATTCCATCCCAAGCTGCAATTGTGGACTAATATAAATATTATTTAGCGACAACTAAATCAATATGTGTTATCATCAACATTATTCTTATATTAAATCCAAAACACAGCAGCTACTAGAAAGAAAATTAACTCTATCCCAGCTGAAACCAGGACAATACTGTAGAAAACTACATGAGCACAGCTATAACGTAGTAATAATAAAGACAGCCAATACACATGACTCGGTAATGTTGCTTGGGTCTTTGTTAATTTGAATCTTTCAGGAACCACTATACAGACAATGAAAATAATAAACAATATTTTCAAGTGTTAAATTCAGCAAATCAAATATTACGAATCATTATGAAAGTTATCAAGATGAAGTAGAGAACATATCATGCCACTGTATGACTCCATAGTTTATTTGCACCTTGACTACTTAGTACAGTTCTGTTCCCCATATGAAAAAGGAGCTGATAGATCTGGCAAAGTTTCAGGGAAGAAAAACAAGGATGACTGAAAGTATGGTACAGCTTTCATACAAGGAAAAACTGAATCACTTAAGACTCTCAAACGTAGATAAGAAGTCCTGCTAGAGGGCAAAACAGTGGTCTATAAAAGCACAAGCAGCACAGAGATTGTGGATAGGTATCAGTAGCTCACTGTCCTTTCCAGTAAAAGCACTTGGGATCATTAAATGCAGCTGGAAGCAGACAGGTTCAAATCCCTCTAAAGGAGGCAGTTCTTCACTTGTCTGTGAGTTAAGTTGTGGTGCTCATTGCTGTAGGATGGAGGGGACACTTAAAGTTTGCAGGGCTTGAAGGAGAGACTAAATAAATCCACAGAAGATAAGTCTATGGAGGATTGGTAATGATGCAGAAATTGTGTCTGGTTCAAGAAGACTCTGAGCTGCAAATGGTGTGAGGATGAGAAAATACTCATGGGAATCATCATGTTTGTTGGGATTTCTTCCTAAGATGCTTTACTAGCAGATGCTGGCAACTAGCAGCAGTGAGAGACAGAATACTGCGCTAGATGGACTGTCTGATCAAGTACTTGTGCTCTTGCTTGCAGTAATATTCACTGCAGTCCCATACACAGCTTGAAACTGTGGTGTGTTAAGAGTCTTCACTTCTCACTGACGTCCGCTATAACTGACATCACTCATTACTCACAGGACCAGGCTTTTCTCACCTGTGTTAGAAATACCTGATGAGTATCTATTTGCAAGTCCTACCTCCTACAAACAAGACATTCAGACTTGTTTCAGTATTTCACAAAATCCAAGACAAGGAAAGGAAAAGAACACATGGATTATACACAAAAGGGAGCAAAAAATGCCAAACCCAACATTTCAGAAATTACAACTTTTAAAATAGAAAAAAGAAAATGTCAAAAAAGGTTTTGCTAATCATAATGGTTTGTTTTATAGGTAAATGCATCCCGCCAAGAAACCAAGCTGATGGAAGAATGTGACCAGCTCATTGAAATAATCCAGCAAAGACGACAAATAATTGGAACCAAAATCAAGGAAGGAAAGGTAAAAAGTTTTCTTCTTTAGATCACAAGTAGGCCAGCACTGCTTCCTCATGCTTATGGCTTTTTGACCTCAGGTATTATTAATACAAATTTGTGAAAGTCCTTATGTAGTACTGGGCTACTGCTACTTTCATGTAAAGAGGAATGAAATATATCAAGATTAGTGTGCTAGACCTCAACAGTCTATTTGGCATTTCTCTTACTATACGTGATTATGATTTTTAAGGATAAACACATAAATAATGTCACCATCAGTACATTATAATAAAATAATGACTAATGAATGATTCCTTCACTATGTTGTATGTTTGACAGTGTTTCCCCCAAAGTTTTCACTTTCACAAAGTGTCACAACATCCTGGCTGGAAATTAACTATATTAATATTTTAGTCTAGATACATTAATTATTTATTAAAATACTATCACATAGAGAATTTGTTTTAGTCGTTGTAATTCTTGAGAATAGGAAGTCTAACTTCAAAAGTTCAAAAACACACAGGAAATCAAATAAAATGTGCTTTTCTAATTACTGTGGTACAATAATTATTAGTGACAAACATATTGAGCAAGAAAAATCTGATATTCAAGTTTCCACACATTTTGCTAGCTACCTGTTAACTCAGAAACACATTAAAGTTGAATTAACATTCTTATTTTCTAGGTACATGGTGTTTACTCTTTAACTGCTAAACTAAGTAAGTCAAATATAAACTCTTCCTGTGTGGGAAAAGCTCAGGAAAAGAATAAAGTCAAGAGCAAGTTAAATGGTTCACGTGGCTGTCAAGATATTCCAATTAACTTGAAATAAAAGGCCTGTAGGCAAGGGCTGACTTTAGCATGTTTGAAACCACAGGTCCTGTATATTGTGTGACAGAACCTGAATTTTCTCATACTGTTAACAAACTATAATTCCCTTCAGTGTGGAAAATGTGGTCTCCTGCATTATTGTTTCAACTCCGTTTCTCTATGCAGCGAGACCAGCTGTGCTTCCAATGAAGTAGAAAACTTTCCATTCATTTGGATTTCAACATATGTGAAATTCAACTCAGCAACCTCACATCTCGTGCCCTAATTGCTGAGATTGGGAACGTTATCTTGATTATAAGTTTGGCTATTTCTGTCAAACCACTCATTTTGCATGTAACTGGGTCTTAATGCCTTTCTAAACTCCAGAATTATTTCATTTCCTTCCCATTTCTTACTCCTGTTCAAACTATGATCCTAATGCGATAACAATGGGAATGACTCCCAGACCTTTCAGGAACTAAGGGTTTTGTTAGCCAGCATTGTCTTTAAATGGAGGATTGACGGTGCCCCTCCCTAACCTTTCAGCTAATGATTACGGTCACATCTACTGTGTTTATCTCCAGCACATATGTTTGCAGTAATAATAATCTGCTCTCCAACAACACTGTGCTTTTGCCCAGTTAAAAACATTCAACAAGAAAACACCCTGTTTGACTAAAGGCATATAATGGAAAGGGCAGGCATGTATTGTTAGTAGAACTGAGCAGTCTTTTTCTGCGAAGTTTTATTTTCAGATTATTTTTAATGAAACACCTCAGCAATAGGAAAAAAGTAGTTAATCTATAAGATGCCTTTAACACAGATCTCATCATTCAGGGAAATGGTTATCTAAATAACCCTTAGTTATCATGTAAGCAGAAATTACCAGGAAATGACGTTTTGTCTGTTGGAAAATAGGCCAGCTGTGCTTGTTTTGGCTCTCCCCTGTTGTTTTCCATGTGGAAAATATTGAGGCAGAAAGGCTGTGCCTGTCCCCTTATTAAAAATGTTACGTGGCTAGTGGAAAGGGCTCACCATCAAGCTAGTGTGAAAAAAGCTCTTGTCAGTGAAGCCATTCATCTTAACTCCCAATTTGCATTCCAGCTTTGCCTCGGAAGTGCAAATGCGATCATGATTTGTGACCTTAGAGATGTGACTGCTTTCTTATGTTTCCACTCAAGGTGGTGAGGTTGAGAAAACTGGCTCAGCAGATTGCGAACTGCAAACAGTGCATTGAGCGCTCGACATCCCTCATCTCTCAGGCTGAGCAGTCGCTGAAGGAGAACGATCACGCTCGCTTCCTGCAAACTGCTAAAAATATCACTGAAAGGTAAAGAAGCCATTCCTCTCGACAAACAGGAAAATCTCAGTTTAAGGCAGATGGGTTGTCGTAGTTGTCGTATTGTCTTGTCCCACCACAAATGTGGTCAAAGAGAGGGCGCTGCGAATTGACACATTCTGCCAAAACTCTACTTTGTGCTGTACCAGAGTGAGAAGGACCTTACTGTAATGATAAACCAAAACATCCCTTTGAAAAGAGGAGCAGTCGTAAAAGAATGCAAAATAAGAGTTGTAACAGTAATAGCGTGCACAAATGAAGGAGGTAGCATGGTTTCCAAACAGATGTCTGGTGCTAAACACACTGGGGAAAAAAAAAAAAAAGGTTTCTGGAGGCTGTTTCCTACTAGGCAATTTTCTACTCCATGAAAAATTCTGAGATTGAGAAAGAAATCAGGCAGCAAGTATATTCCTTAGAAGAAATTTGGAATGATCTTAATGGATTCATATTCTTCACAAAATAGCAAGCAGCAAGGTAACAAATTGTGTATCTTTGGGAACCTGCAACATGCATCTTTGAGGTAGTCCACTCAAAGAGTTGGGAATTCAACAGCCTGGGGTGTCTGGAAGTTATGATAGCGACTGTGTTGGGACCTGGGTGCAGAGAATTTCTACTGCTTCCAGGATCCTAGCTCCTTTTCCATGTTCCGGACATATCAAGGACCCAAAGACAAGGGAGCAAGTCTTTCTAGGAAACTGTGCTGTCAGAATATTTGGTCTGGTTTGAAGTGCAACACTGTGAATACTGAAATACTCCTACTGAATTTCAGCAGTATTTTCTGATTAAAAAAATTTCCATTGGAATTGTCGTCTGTTTAGCCCTCAGCCAGAGAAACAAAAAAAAAAAGGACAACATATCTGGACAATGAAGAAGAAAACTTAAAAAGTGCGCTCATTTATTCAGCTGTTTTTTATCTCTGGGTTCACATTAGATCTTCACATTTTCCAGCTAATTTTCACCTTATCCAAAGAATGAAATTCCCTCCTTTTATTATTTTTTTTTAAGTCTATCACTTACCCTGGGGTGTTGTATGTAGATTTGCTGAATATCAGGCTTCACCAAAGCTATTTAATCAATTTATAAATAAGCCAGCAACACTGGGTTGCTCGTTACAGGTGCAGAGAATTGACAATCTGTTGAGAAAGGCAAGGCAAGGCAGTGCAATGGATTAGGTTTGATCTCAGACTCAGACCCTGGTTTATATTCTGTCATCAAGCTACATTGTGGCACTTTTTTTTCCCAGCTGAAACCAATAGTAAAACTATCGCATGAGTATCATGAGCAAAAAGCTGAAGGTGAGGGTCTGGCCTTTTTTCAGTATTTGGTGGAACAAGCAGGAGGGTAGAAACCTGTGGGGACACAAAGCTTTTTAACTGACTACCAGAGAGTGTTGAGAGAAGCTCCATTTTCACCTTGTAAACATGAACAGTTGCATCATAAATACGGTCACGGGAGAGACAGTCGGAGAGCAGAAATGAGGCCAGCTGAAATATGTGCCCAATCAAATCTAATTCTTGGCTATCACAGATTGCCATCTGTAATGAGATGGCTGTGAACGCCCTGAAAATGAGAGAATCATTTCAAGCAGTGAATAAAGCTGAGGGGTAAAAAACACCAAGTGCTTGCAGACAAATTGCAAGTGGAAAAAGAGGCTAAATCTGATTAATAAATTATTCCCCACAAGTAAGTCTCTGAGTCCTCACATGGTCGGCAATATTTCATTTGCTTCTAGACTGTTCATGTAACAGTCTCACCAGGGCCCTGAGCTCCAGCAGCTAAAACAGTCCCCTGAAATTATGGTCATTGCATTTCTTCATGCACATATTTCAAAGTAATGGTAGTATGATATTCTCTGTTGTAAGCACAACAGGTAACTATGTATAGCAAAGACATTACACACACTACAATGATCTAGGTCGTATATTATTTACAGTGAGTGAAATGCATTTATCCTAGAAAAATCCTTTCCAACCAAGCACAGGGTTAGATAGGGCAAGGGGAAGTGCAAGAGGAAATTCAGTCCTCTGAACCTAATCCGGTGACATGGTGTGTGAGACTGCGAACTGTTGAGCTCACTGAAAACTGACTTTAACGCATGTACTCACAGTGAATCCTTCGCATAGCCACAGACAAAGTCCAAAAGGGTCTGGTCATATGGTTTTCCTCACAATAAATATGTGCTTTATGGAGGTATTCAAAGAAGCTCTTCATCTTAGATACCTGCTTGCTGGTTTCTTAGTAAAACTATTGTTAATTTTGTAGAGGTGTTTGCCCTAACACAGGCCCTACAAGAAATGCATGTCTTTTTTTCCTACTAGATACAAAACACCATAGTGTAATTGCAGATGAATTACTGGGAGGTGGGAGAGAAAAAAAAAAAAAAAAGAAGGGAAAGGGGCCAGCGAATTTTTCCCTCTAAGGAAAAGGCACTAAAAAAAAACCCCGTCTGTACTAGGTTCTACTTTAAACTAAGTTCTACAACTACAGTTGCAAGAGAAACAGTGATAAAAACTGTATAACATGAATTATTGACTAGGCAACCTCCTGAGCTCAGCTTTTGAAAACTCTGCTGAAGACAATGAGATGTGCAGCTCAGTTTGTGACTTTCCTAACTGCATTTTCCTAAAATGCTACACAAGAAATATATGAAAATACAGTTTTTCGTAAGCATTCGGCCTGGAGCCATTTGAGTCCTGTCTATAGAGAAATACTCTAATTTGGGAAACTGTTAATTGAAGCAATCAAAATGTTTTGATCTGACATGTCACGAATGACAGATAACTGACACACCTTGTGTGCATGGTTGTGTGTTTGCCTCCAAACTCAAACAATTAACAAAAGAGGCTTAATAACCTCTTTGCTTAAACAGACCAAACTTTCTGCAAACATATCCAGTATCCAGCTCTCTAGTAACACATATTTTGAGATATCAAGCTGAAGGATCTGAAAGATACATCCTGATGGCAATTTTCTTGTGAGAGCTCATCTCTCTATATTAGTATGTCTGGACAGACAAAAAGTGGATGTAGCTCCTGAAATGAAGTAGGCAAGGAAACTTTTCAGTTTTGGAGGAAACGTAAGTATGCACCCATGCTTTTCAAGGAAAAGCCTTTCAAAATAAACTGTGCTGACATCTGTTTGTTTTATCTCTCCCCTGTGCTTTTTGAAGTTAACAGCGGTGTGCTGTGCTGAACAGCTGAGGAGGTGTGGGGAACTGCACCAAGCCCTTGGGACAGCAGTGCCAAGGAATGCCTGGAGCAAGAAACTGCTTGGGAAAACAAGGGTTGGGAGAGATGCAGCATCTGTCAGGATTGTTTAAAACATATATAAATATGGTGTTATTGCTACTTTGGTTCAATGGGTGACTAGAAAGAACAATTCAAAGTATAATGTTAGTTTAACCAGTATTTTGTTAAAAGCTTATCTGACGCTGCATGTGAGGCAAAAGCTAAGTAATGAGAGATTTTTACCAGAGACTTTACTCGCAAAAATAAAAGCAGCAGGAGAAGCTTTTAACTTAAAACCGTATAACTAAAATACATGTAAAAGTTTTTGTCAAGTTTTTTGAGAAGTGGTAACGATCATAATGATCAGCTCCTACCTTGATGTGAAAGTTATTGTGTCTTGTGTGCTAAAAGACTTTTTCTTTTCATTATAGGGTTTCCATGGCAACTGCATCCTCCCAGGTTCTAATTCCTGAAATCAATCTCAACGATACTTTTGATACGTTCGCACTCGATTTTACCCGCGAGAAGAAATTGTTGGAATGCCTTGATTACCTTACAGGTAATTTTTTTTCCTCAAGGTGCTACTATTACATGTACCTTATAAAACAGTAGTGATAGGATTTTCTTCATTCCTCTCTGTGGCCAGTTAACTTTGACTGCCAGGTGCCCACCAAGCCACTCTCTCACTCCATCTCCTCAGCAAGACAGGAGGAGAAAATAAGACAAAAATCTTGTAGGTTGAGATAAGGACAGGGAGATCACTCAATTATTACTGCTACAGGCAAAACAGACTCAACTTGGGGAAGATTAATGTAATTTATTGCAAATTAATTCTAAGAGTAGGGCACTGAGAAATAAAAACAAAACTAAAAACACTTTCCCCCACCTCATCCTTCTTCTTGGGCTCCACTTCACTCCCAACTCTTCTACCTCCTCCACCTGAGCGGCACAGGGGGGCAAGGAATGAGGGTTGCGGTTAGTTCATCACATGTCGTCTCTGCCGCTCCTTCCTCCTCACGCTTCTCCTCTGCTCCAGTGCGGGCTCTCCACAGGCTACAAACCCGCAGGAAGAACCTGCTCACGCACCAGGTCCAAAAGCTGCTCTAGTATGGATCCTTTCCATGGGGTACAGTCCTTCGGGAATGGACTGCTCCATTGTGCCATGGGCCCTGGTTCCTGCCAGAAAACTTGCTCCTACGTGAGCTCCTCTCCAGAGGCTGCAGCTTCCTTCAGGGTATATCCACCTGGTCCAATGTGGGTCTTCCACAGGCTGCAGTGTGGATATATGCTCCACTGTAGTCCTACATGGGCTGCAGGAGGGCAACCTGTGTCACCATGGTCTTCTCCACAGGCTACAAGGGAATCTCTGCTCCAGTGCCTGGAGCACCTCCTTCCCCTCCTTCTTCGCTGACCTTGGTGTCTGCAGGGCTGTTTCTCTCACATTTTCTCACTTCTCTCTCTCCCAGCTGCTGTGCAGCCTTTTTTACAATTTCTTAAATATGTTGTCACAAAGGCACTACCAGCATCAGTGGTGGGCTCAGCTTTGGGCAGCAGCAGGTCTGTCTTAGAACTGGCTGTGTCTGACATGGGGTCAGCTCCTGGTCTTTTCTCACAGAAGGCACCCCTGCAGCCCAACTGCTACCAAAACCTTGTCACATAAACCCAATACACCCTCCCTCTTAATCCTGAATACATTACCCCCAGCAGCCCCAGAATGCCCCAGGAAGCATTAGGTGCTACAGAGCACACCTGGGATGCATTTCCTGCCGTTTCTCCTTGCATTCCTCCCCACCACGGTGTGGACAAGTGGGAGTGAGAAATGGTTGAAAGCCACCGCAGCAGAGTGAAATGAAAGAACAGCTGGAGGTCAGCCTGGAGCAGCCAGAGGAGGGAGAGTGGGGACCAAATCCCATTTCCTGTGGAACGGATGCTCCACGCGTTGCCCTCTCCCTTGGGGCTGCCTCCTTGCTGTGGCGGATTGCAGCCTGGCAGATTTCACAAGAGCAACCAGAAGCTGTTCAAGCAATCAACATCAAGGGCTCAGTGATGAAAGAAGTTTTCTCATGCCGGTGATACTGTGTATTTCCCCCATCACAGAAACGGAGGACCTCGCTGTGTCTGGGACTAGAGAGCACGCAGCGAGCTCTGGGGCAGGGTGTGGGATGGGTTCTCCGAAGAGCAGAGCCCCAGCTCACTTAACTGAGAGCTTTGGCCTGAAGAAGCTTGTAGGATTAGACTCTTACTGAAGGCCTGAGTAATGTGCGATCTCAGCGTATATAATGACTCACAAAGAGAAACAAATTACTGTAATTTAGGGTGTTTTGATTTCAATGCCAGAATTAGAACAATTCATTCCAGTTCAATTGAAAACAGAAGAGACATGGGGTAGGTTTTCATTTTGCAGTGTCTTTAAGCATCTGCTGTTAACAGCAAGAGTTTGCAATGAAAGGCACAAAACACTATTAGGAAAGCACTTGAAAACACTTCCTGGGCCCATTCTCTTAGCCTGGCTTGCAGGAGATACACTCATGTTATTTCAGAAGAATGTGAGAGCGCAGAGTCTCCTCATTGCCAGCCACTGGATCACTTCCATGCAGAGGGCTGGCTTCTGGCTTTTCCTCAAAGGAAAGGCTGAGAGAGTTGGGTTTTTTTCAGCCTGGAGAAAAGAAGGCTCCAGGGAGACCTTGTTGTGGCCTTTCAATACTTAAAGGGGGCTTATAAGAAGGATGGGGACAGACTTTTTAGTAGGACCTGTTGTGATAAGGAGAGGGGTAATGGTTTTAAATGAAATGAGGGTAGATTCAGACTAGTTATAAGGAAGAAATTTTTTGCAATGAGGGTGGTGAAACACTGGAACAAGTTGCCCAGAGAGGTGGTAGATGCCCCATGGCCGGAAACATTCCAGATCAGGTTGGACAGGGCTCTGAGCAACCTAATGTAGTTGAAGATGTCCCTGCTCATTGCAGGGGGTTGGACTAGATGACCTTTAAAGGTCCCTTCCAACCCAAACTGTTCTATGATTCTATGAATACGTGAACAGATTAATACTGGAAAGAACAAGGCTGTCTGCATGCACAGGACAGCGCCACCATTGCCTGAGAGACCTGCGGGGTTCTTGCTATATCTGAAAGAGAGCTTTTATCTGCAGGGAATTTCTGTATCACTGTGTGACTGGTGAATGCAATCAGTGTTTAACACATACTCGACTAAATAATACACAATACTAATGTGGTGAGAGTAATTTGAAGGTTTTATACAGTACCAGTGCAGCGTTATAGTGTCTGACTGTCCCCAAAGTCTGCTGAAATTTTGCCACCATGTTGAGGATTCCCCCCCAAAATTATAAAAAGCCAAGGAAATGAAAGGAAGGATTAAGAAAAAGCCAGGCTCATTTGCCCTAATCTAGAAATCTAGATGTAAAATAATCAGCCTCCACTTCCTTTATAGTCAAAGAGGAATAACCACCTCATTTTAAGGCATATATATCAGTCAGTTGACTCCATTCTGGAGGTGCCTATTTCTCCCGTACCCTCCATGCTTTCTCCCCTTTGCACATCCCACGTCAGTAGTACCAGCCTAATTGCTGTGCACTGCAGAAAAGGTTGTATCTACACCAAAATGAAGGGTAGTCTTGCTACAGGGTGCAATGCCAAGAAGATCCTTTCTGCATCCGTCATGCTGGCTGTGCCATTTCCACAGCTCCTTCTCTGCCTTCTTCCTACCTCATCCACAGTCTTGAAAAATTGCTTACAATGCAGTCTAAGGGAACTTGCAACTCTATCAAGCAGTTTAAATGTTTTTTCCTAATTACCATTTTTATCCTTGCCCTTGATGCCCAGTGAAGAACAGTTTTAGCTGGCTCAGTCTTTGTACTGTTTTTCTTCACATTAATAAATAGCTTATGGCTGCAATGGCAAAATCCAAAACACATGTCCAAATTATCTGAGCATAAAATACAACCTATGTGGACAGTTAAAATAAGTTTATATAGATATATATATATATATGTAATATATATGTGTATATGTATAGTCCCAAGAGTCAAATGTACTTGATTATTCTCTATTGTTCAGAAACTCTAAAGAAAGATTTATTTTATTTTACCCCTTTCAGATTGATGAATGGAATCTTCATAGATCTTAAACTGAAAACTCTGTGACAGAGTGAATTGGGCTTTACTTTTATCTTGTTTCACAGTTAAGTAAAATGAAGACCATTTGTAAGCCCTAGTGGTATAGCTGTGTTCTGAATCAAGTGGAGGATCCTATATTATATCAATTGTCTGTACTTCTGAAGAAAATGTCAAAGCCTGAATCCCAGCTTCATTCTGTCTGCTGTCTGTTGCCTTCAAAGCAATTGACCTTGGTTGTCTTCTGGAGATTTTCTTCTCCTTTGGTTCTTCCCAGTGCACTATTTGTCAGATCTTCTTCACCCTCCACCTCCCCAACCATGGTTTTCTATGTGGCATATTGAAGTTTGCATCTTTCTTTCTTCCTAGGCTATTTCTTTCACAAATATAAATTCAACCAGTTTGTGCTTATCATGTACACAGCTGTCTGTCCAAAGCTTCTGCTATCTAAATGAAAATCTCTGATATCTCACTGAAAGTTGCCAGCCAGACATTGAGATGTCAAGCTCAGTATAGTAAAACAATACTCTTAATCTTCCTCTGACTGTTCTATCCTCTGTATATATAGCCTTGATGTCTCTTGAAAGCTTTCTTATCTTGCCAGTTGCTCAAGCTTTTCATCTGGAACTCATCTCTTTCTAAGATCCAGGCAATGCATATGACTTGCAAACTCTCTGCACAATATTACTAACATAAGGACTTTTTCTATCCATTGTGAATCAAAAATACTTGTTCGGTGTCTTAATACTTTGAAATCAATTGCAGCAACATCTATTCTTTGACCTTGCAATTTGCCCTGCTTCAGAAATCCCATCTGAAACAATGATACATTTTCTTCATCCATCACTTTAGCTATGACTGTACTAAGAAATATGCATTGCCTAGCATATACAAGCAGTTTTTTCACACAAAACCAACATAATTCTAGAAACCCTTCACAACTTGCCTTTCCTCTTAACTCTTTCAGTATTAAAAGATCAAAAACCACGTCCAGCCAGCTAGTCTCATGCTTTAGGTGTAATCTCTTCTCATTCTGTTTTTTAACAGTTTTGTAGACATAGTTGTATGACTAACCTCTTGATGCCAACTCATATGTGGCACGTTACTAACACATCAAGTTTGTATCCACATCTGATCTAACTGTGCCTTTCAGGCTCCTGCATGCTGGTTCAGTCTAGTGTCACAATACGCCATGAAGCCAGTAATGAACAGCTGAGAGAGGTTCGAAGCAGCTTCCTCAATTCCTTCATGTTCATACCAGCAATGTCGATATTTCTAGCACCATTAAGTCAAGGAGGAGGCTTAGATCTTTGTTTTTTACTCAGTATCAAAATCAGGAAGGAGTCCTTACAAAGTCAATCACCCCATGCCAGGGAGGTGGAGACCAAGCAAACAAAAGAAAGTTGAGGTGGTTTTAGTCAATCTCTGTGACCTTGAGCTGAAAGGATTTAGAAATAGTCTCAACAGTCACCCAGGAGCCACTGCGTGCATGCCAAGATTCACCAACGAGAGGTGACAGTTTCCCTAAACTGCCTCTCAGGTGCATGGACCATGTAAGTGCTTTCAGTCTGCCTCAAATTAAATGCCACACAGATGACACTGAACAGAAGGTGGGTTAGACTAAACCGTTTGAAAGGGAGTAGATATACTCACAAGGTCAGTTACTTCTGGGAACAAATTTAAGAAACTTCTTTTCTAATATTTGTTATTGCCTTTCAGGCACTTCAGATGTGGTTCCTGACTATTTAAGTGTGCCTGCTCACTTTTGAGTTGAAGTCACACAAACAAACTAAAACAGCCTTCAGCAATGATTTCGCTCTTGTCAGAGACTGTTGATTCATGAATGCAGGCGGATGAAAGTCAATGCGACTGAAGCAGTTACCACTCCCAGATGTTTGCACCGGTACTCTGTGGAGATTGCCTCCCCATGACCAAAGAGAGCTGTAGATGTTAGGAAGCAATTCCTTAAACTGCTGCAGCTTTCATTGTGCCTTGCTAAGTCTGCTGGCACTGATTCCAGGTTCCCTCACTGCTCAAGGCTGTAAATTTGGGCTTTTCAAGAGCTGCTTCAATTTTTTTTCAGCTCTCCCTGACATTGGGTAGCATTTTGTAGACAGGAGGCTGCCAATAACTGAATGCATTAACAGCATCAGCTGTCAAACATCTCTCTTGTTGCTGTTGTGAGTCAGTGCTCCATCCTCGCCCTGAAATGGATGGGAAGGGCTCATGGGCAATCACTGCTTCTCCACTGGGAAACAGTACCAAAGGGTGGATATGAGGTTTTGTGTCTTCCACTGCTGTGCTGGAAGCATACTGGGTTCTCTTCCTCAACAATGGTGGAGTACACCTGGTGGTGGAAGGTGCTGGTGCAGCCCTGAGATGCTCTGGAGTCTCTGCAGAGCTTTCCCTGTGGCACCTGAGCTCTATAGAAGTACTAGCAAATTTGATAAGCAAATCACACACTATCAGATGTATTAATGAAGATAACAAGAACAAGTGGCCTCAAGTTACACCAGGGTAGGTTTAGGATGGATATTAGGAAAAAGTTCTTCACAGAAAGGGTTGTTAAGCATTGCAGCAGGCCGTCCAGGAAAGTGGTGGTGTCACCATCCCTGCAGGTAGTTGGATAGACGTGGTGCTTAGGGACATGGTTTAGTGGTGGTTTTGGCAGTGTTAGGTTGATGGTTGGACTTGATGATCTTCAAAGTCCCTATGAACCTAGACAATTGTATGATTCTATGATAACCGATTAAGGTCAGTCTCTTCAATTGCATTACGAACTTACATTCTCCAAAGGAATATGTGCTGTGGAATGATAAATTTGGCAGCCAGGTTTCTACATTATTTTGAAAGCCATAACAAACAATTAGCATGCAGACTTCCCTGTCTGTCTGCAGGAGGAGCCGGTAAATTTTGTTTTGCTCTGAGTGGTTTATGAAATGAGTGTTGCTGAAGAGCTGAGTTTCATGCAGTATAGTCTCAGTGTGGGTGTGGGTTAATCATAAGAGCAAGAGAAAAGATGTCCTGCTCGGGTCAAATCTCTTTTTTTTGTCATTCTCATTATATGAAGGCCTGTAAATCTCCAGCCATAAGGCCAGCCAGGTGTGCATATGAAGAGAGAACTTAGGCTGTCATTTTCAAAGGAGTTGAAGACACTTAGGTGCTATTGAAATGCAGTTTACAGTTCATTAAACCTTCAGTAATTGTTGCTTTCCATAAATTAATATTTATTATTTGTGTTGTAGTAATAACAGGTGAATTTCTCAAGCAAAAGGATTTGCTGTTAGGTGCAGGAGGTGACTGAAGACGACTTTGAATACTAGCACGCAAAAAATGGATGCGCTTGTATATTTGTAATTATTTTTTTTTGCCTTTGAAGGACAGGCAAAATATGAAAATGAAGCCTCAGCTAGGAAAAAAAAAAAAAAAAAGAGAGTTTCAGTAGATTGTTTTGCTGATTACATTTTTGAAATGTAGCTGGTAAGACCAGTGCAATACTGCATAGATTTCACAATGGTTAGTTGGCCTCAGTTAGTACCCAACCTCTAAACTGCAGCACGAATCTTTCCAGAAGATTGCAGGGTTTTTTTCTCCTCCTTTTGTTTATGTTCCCCTCCTGAATGACTGTTCTTATTTTAGTTCATTTCTCTCTCTCTTTATTAATACCCATCTGTCCCAAGGGTTCCTCTGCTGAGAAAAAAAAAAAAAAAAAGTCATTGGTAAGCTTCCGTGCTACAATATTTAGAGCATCACAAATCACGGTCATATCATGAAACACATTTGAACGTTTCCTTATGTCCCTTGGTTGAAAGACGCTGCTTGGAAATGCGCCTGCACTTTAATCCTTGGGAACTTACATCAGTAAACCAGGGATATGAACTATAAAAAATCTTAATGGAAAGTAAAATAGATGTTTCATAAAAATAAGTTGTTGCAAAAGTAAAGGTGGAAGGGACCTTTTGTTGAGGCCATTATTTGTGGCTAACAGAAGCTAAAGAGCTGACAGCAAAAATACCATTCAGAGTTGCCTTCCTTTTCCTTTAATTCAGGCATATTATGGTTGTTTCAGCTTGAGTGCCCTCCTTCCTCACTCTGTGACAGCTGGAAGGAACACTGTTAAGCACAAGGATTTTTTTTATTTTTTTTTTTTGCATGATGATGGCATGTAAGGAAGATGATTAGGAATGAGGCTACCACTGAGACAAGCATGCAGGAAGGCCCACCAGTCTTTGAAAGAAAGGCTCATTTGTTTCTTATTTAGGTGCTTGGCTTTGTAGAGAATGCAAACGAGGAAAATTTAGACCTAAGAAGTTTGCTTCAAGTTTCACTTAAATAAACGTGTGTGTTAGTATGGGAGAAGAATGTATAGCTTACTACAGAGAGATTCTTGTGTGTTGATTAAAAAAAAAAAAACCAGAGGGAAAACTTTTTAATAAAGTGTTTGGGTTCTTGTCTAGAATTATTTAATTACCAATGATATTGACGCTTAGGTTATAATAGCCATATAGTCACGAATTTACGACAAGAGCTCTTTACGTAAGGGTGAAAAAAGGTGAGTTGTATAGCCAACAGAAATTATATGCATCTATATTAGACGGGACAGCTAGGAAATAAATAAAAATTAACTTGAAAAGATTAAGCATGAAAGCATGAGTGTTTGGAGGCTTCCCCCAAATTATATTTTTTAAATACCACTTGGCCAACCTCTGGTAAGATAGGCTAGGCAAACACTGCTTTCAAGTCTACAGTGAAGAGTGTTGACTCTCCCTATTGATAAATGCTTCAATGAAACTTTGATAATTTCAGTGTGATGGTCAGAAACAAACCTAGAAAAAATAACTCGTCGGTTGTCCCCATTAATCACAGCTTAATGTGACCACCAACACATCACTTGTGCTAGGGCAACTGAAACTAAAGCTACTTCAATACAAAATATTTTCCAAATCTGGAGTTCCTAGGTGGTTATATTGATAGAAAGAATTCCTTTGCAACAATTTATTGATAATCTAAGTTACTACTGGAATTAGTGAAAAGTTGCTGAAAAGTCTGTTGGACGGTGTAGCTGCAAACTCATACATCAGATGCCCTAATCTCAGGTGTGAAGGGAAATATTTTACGGATTGTGTCAGTAAGCCTCCTCTGTTGTATCTCACAGCTCCCAACCCACCCACCATTCGAGAAGAGCTCTGTACAGCTTCTTATGATACCATTACTGTCCACTGGACGTCGGATGATGAGTTCAGTGTTGTCTCTTACGAGCTGCAGTACACCATCTTCACCGGACAAGCTAACGTTGTTAGTAAGTATAAACCTTCCCTTTTCTGGTTCTGTTTCTTCATGGTTTCTCTGTAAACCAAATGCCTTTAAATATAAATGTAGTCACATGTCAAGAACAAAAGGAAAAATACTTTCTAGGAAGATTTAAAGCCAAATTTTTAAATCTAAACCAATAATGATTTCAAACAGTTTTACAATTCAGGATTCATTCAGTTAATATTTATTCTGTTTTCTGGGAGTGCCAGGTATTGAGAGCTTTTGAAGACTAAAATCTGCACGTTTCCAAAGGCACAAGTACTGTCCATGTTAACAGGGCTTACAGAAACTTTGGATACAGAATAATTTGGATTGGAATGGACCTTTAAAGGTCATCTAGTCAACCTCCCCTGCAATGAGCAGGGACATCTTCATCTAGATCAGGTTGCTCAGATTCCCGTTCAGCCTGACCTGGAATGTTTCCAGGGATGGGGCATCTAGTACTTCTGTGGGCAACCTGTGCCGGTGTTTTACTGCCCTCATTGCAAAAAATGTCTTTCCTATATCTAGTCTGAATCTACCCTCATTTGGTTTAAAACCATTACCCCTCTTCCTATCACAACAGGTCCTACTAAAAAGTTTGTCCCCATCTTTCTTATAAGCCCCCTTTAAGTATTGAAAGGCCACAACAAGGTCTCCCTGGAGCCTTCTTTTCTCCAGGCTGAAAAACCCCAACTCTCTCAGCCTGTCCTCATAGGAGAGGTGCTCCAGACCTCTTATCGTCTTTGTGGCCCTCCTGTGGGCCTGCTCCAACAGGTCCATGTCTTTCATGTGCTGAGGGCTACAGATCTGGACGCAGTACTCCAGGTGCAGTCTCACCAGAGCGGAGTAGAGGGGCAGAATCAACTCCCTCAACCTGCTGGCCACGCTTCTTTTGATGCAGCCCAGAATACAAATGGTTTTCTGGGCTATGAGTGCACATTGTTGGCTGATGTCCAGCTTTTCATCCACCACTATCGCCAAGTCTTTCTCAGCAGGGCTGCTCTCAATCCCTTCATACCCCAGCTTGTATTGATACTGGGGGTTACTCCCCACCCGAGTGCAGGACTTTGCACTTGGCTTTGTCGAACCTCATGAGGTTCACATGGGCCCACTTCTTGACTTGTCTCTTGTATCTTACGTCCCTTGTTGCAGACATAGCCACAGGGACAATGACCTCATTTCCATTGTCTGGGCTAGTCAGACACTTGGGAGCCTGTGTTGAACTGGTCATTAGTTAGAACTGCAGCCCCATTGTCATTTAGATACCCTTGACAACTGGACCTTTGTCAGAAATATAGATTAAGTCCTTCCCTCTGATTTTTACTGTCTTCAAGGCTACAAACATTGGTCTCAGTTAATACACTGAAGGCTAGGGCAGCAAACATCAGTGGAACAACAATTATTATGGTAACTTTGTTTCACTTCAAATGATTTTGGACAACACACTGTAAAATTTAAGACTGCTGGGAAGATCAAGTAACCTTCAACACATGCTCCTACATCTGAGCAAGCTGGATACTAAGAAGGTCTAATAGTGATTTGGAACAAATCGGAGCACAGTAGGTAAGGAAGGAAAAGCTTTGCTGATTAGTCACTGCTAAGCAGACAGGTCTTAAAGGTAACAGTGCGTTGCTTGTTTTCTGACCCAGTTTTTTCTATGGCTTTATGCAAGTTAGTTATTGGAACTATGTGTGAACACAGCAGCAGAAAGGTATGCCATTTCCACACCTTTGTGATGTGGGGTTTTACTTTTTGCTTACCACTGAATAAATAACAAGGTATTTCATTTTTTAGGCTGTATTACAGGTTTCCCACGTGAAGGCAAAAGCTTTGATGTGCAAAACATGTATCAATTAGTCTTCTTTCAGAGGTGCAGTATGATAAATTTGGGGTATAGCGTGAAGTGCTCAGTGTGCAGTCTGAACTTTCATTTTATCACTTTGCGAAAATAGTGTCATTAAAAGTTTGAAGAGAAAACAAATCAACACTGTAGGAAACCTTTTTTTACAAAATCCTCTGAAGACCTTAAATGGCAGAGAAAGAAATGAAAGAACTGGCTTTTTTTTTTCTTTCCTTTTTTTTTTTTTAATGCAATAGCTCTTACACAAATATCTTGGGTGTTAGTTTCAATTTAATTGAAAGCTATAACATTCACCCAAATTGAATACGTGTATATATAAGTATATGTGGAAGGGTTTTCTAAATGTTTAAAAGCTTTTTTTTTTAATCTCTTTATTTAATGTAGACTTGAACACTTCCAATGGAGATGATCCCGCCAAATCTAACTGCTACAGATCTGCCCAGGTTTCTAACACAAGGGATTCTCCCAGTTCATTCCAACTTCCAGTGGTATGGGAGATTTGCCCACTAACATCCTGGTTTTACTCAGAACACTGCTTGGGCATTTCTTCACTGTGTTGGATTATATTCTTTGTCCTGCAGAAGGGTCCAATATCCCAGCTTTTATAGATGACTTTCCAAGATTGTCCGTAGAATATCAGAGTGTATCTTAATAGTGTCGTATAACACAGAGGGCTATTTTCACTCTAAGTGGCATTAGCAGGCGCGCTGCAGCCTTCATGTTTTGATGAAGTGAAGCTAAGTGATTTTTTTTTTTAATCCTGTTTTAATGGAATAGATTTTGGATTAGCACAAATTTCTTTCTATTTATGGCATTTGCATGCTGTTGCACATAATTATTTTTTTAATTTATTTCCCTGTCACACCCCAAAAGTTTTCCATTGGTATTGTGTGCTGCCTGTAGCAGATAATGTAAACAGGTTTATAGATCGCCTTCAGTTCCATGTTTTTGCAGCTATGAATTAGTCACAACGGAGTAGCTAGAGTACTGCATTAAACCAACAAGCTTTTTTCCCCCCTGAGACAATAGGAATCACTTTGCATACATACCCACCTACCGTGCTAATGGAGGTTGTTATTTTGGAATCCGTTTCTTAAAACCACATAGCCAGACTGACTGTGCTTTCCACTCTTCAGTACATTTCCCCCACCAGAGGCATATATCATTCAGAGATTGCTAAGAATTCAGTAACAAAAACAAGCAATGCTATGTTTTTCTAGTGTATTTTCTATCCAACATAATCAACTATATTCTTTTTTATTAACTGAAAAATTGGAGAGTTAACATTTGATGGAAAAGGTCCAAACAGAGTATTTCATTTTGAATCCTATTTCATACAGGAAAGATTATTTCCAAATGTGGCCAAACTGCTTGGCTATTAAATGCTTGGCAGCCCTGTTCTGTGCATAAGAGCAATACAGAACTTTAAATTAAGCAGGCTTTTACTAAAGCAGTTGTTCTCAGAGTTATACCATTCACACATTTGCATTTCTGAGAGGTAGCTAATCACCTGCAATCTGAATATTGTAAAGGCTTTTAAAATGACTTTGTCACTAGCTAGCTAACATGCATTATAATTTCATTATCCCTTTTCAATAAATTTTCAAGTAATTATTGACTATGCATTTTTTCAACATCATGGAATTGCTTTAGAGTGCTTCAGGAAGGTTAAAATTTAAACCTCCAGCTTTTTACTAGCTGCAATACAAGATGTCTTCATGAAAAACACATCTCTCTCTTCAAGACAAAAAGCAGTAAATAATACTATCTTTCCTGGTAAATGGAATTTAGTTTAGTAAGTTTCATCAGCTAAATACTGAAATTCACTGTATTAAGGATGCAGTGTACTGTTAGAACCTTCCTAGTGTTACACGGTTACTCTTCTTCTAAGATAGGGTGAAATTTTATTGAAGGATCTAAGACATTTAGGAGCCCGAGCTTACAACAGAAAGTTTATAATTCACCAATTAATTTTTGAATATTCTAGCTTTTGTCTCTTTCTGGAAGTTTTATTTTATTAAAAACAGATTCCTTACAATCTTCAGATTGCTACTGAGGATTTTAGTGAGTATGGCACAAAAGCAAGTTTGGGATAAAACCAAGAAAACTTCTGCCTCTTGAAGACTATAAAAAAAGTGTATTTCTTTAAAAAAAAAAAAAAAGCTATGTGTTTTGCAGAAATCCTGTGTACATTATTTTCTTTCACATGGGAATGCAGAGTGGGGGTGGAGAGCTATCTGTTACCTTCACCTACTGTATTTGTTCTACCAATTTGAATTGGTAATAATTTATTTAAATAAAGCACTTTGAAATAATTAAAATACTCAAGAGATTAAATAACCTTCCCATGACTTTTGTGCTCCTCTTTCAGTTTTCAAGAAGATATATTTTATTAAAATCTACCAGTGTAAATTTTAGGAGGATTTACACCTTAGGATTTTTCCCATCTGTTTTTTAAAGTGCATCAACAGCCAACACCGGGGAAATAGTTCTACAAATTATTACCTCCAGACTCTGAGTAACTTGTTTTGAAAACTCACACATCCTGTACGGACATCACTGTGCTCACTGCACCATTCCAGGATGTAATTTACATTCTCTACATTTTTGTAGGCTACAGTTTTAAAATACATTGTTTTACCACCTGCACAACCCTGTAAAAAGCTCTGGGTTTTTGAAACAAGAAACCTGAATGTAGCCTGGATTAGGAGTGGGTACAATAGAAGACCCTTAGCTCCTGCTGCCACACCAGTGAGGAGAAGGTGTGTGCTTTTCCACTTAACCCGCTGCCACCGGCAGGGAGCTGAGGGGGCAAATGCTACCCTCGGATGCCCACATTACCCGGCTGCTTGCTCATTTCCCTATACTTTCTTAATCATCTTCTTTTGTATTCAGAGAAGAAAGGCTGTCCTGACAGGGCAGAACTGGAGACAAATTCTTTTGATGTTGTGACAAAATATTCTTTCATACCTAAATGCTTAACTTGGCTGCCACTAGTTACTATTCCCCATTCTGAAGGATTTTGACCTTGTGGATTGACACCATCAAAACTTGATTCCCAAGACTTCTAGAATCAAAGTTCAGTTTAAAGCCTATTATCAAATAGCTCACAGTCAGGAAGCACATGGACACATCACTGAGCCCCTAGGTGCAGAAGCAAGAGCCGAGCTCATTGGGACAGCAAGGTTTGTCAAGCAAAGTAACCGAGTTAGTCACTGCACGTCCAACATTTATAGTACACCAGTAGTCTGAGGTGCCTCATACTGGAATCATAGAATCATAGAATGGTTTAGGTTGGAAGGGACCTTGAAGATCATCTAGTTCCAACCCCCTGCCACGGGCAGGGACACCTCCCACTAGACCAGGTTGCGCAAAGGCCAATCCAGCCTGGTCTTGAACACCTCCAGGGATGGAGCTTCCACAGCTTCTCTGGGCAATCTGTTCCAGTGCCTTACCACCCTCAAAGTGAAAAATTTATTCCTAATATCTAATCTAAATCTACCTTCTTCCAGTTTGAAGCCATTCCCCCTCATCCTATCACTACATGCCCTAGTAAAACATCCTTCCCAATCTCTCCTGTAGGCCCCTTTTGTGTACTGGAAGGCCACTATATGGTCTCCCCAGAGCCTTCTCTTCTCCAGGCTGAGAAAGGACAAAGAAAAGAAACCCAAGGTGGCCTATGTCATCAAAAGGGATAGAGCCTTCGCCTAGAACATGAGTCAGGTGAAATGAAGGGTTCCCAACTCTCTCAATTGACTGTGCAGTTATTTTAGGATAGGTAAGGTACTAACTCAGAAACTCTGCTCTTTGTTCATGGTCAGGTGGGATGAATGAACACCTGCAGGTGAGCATTTTGCCATCAACCCCAGCAGCAGAAGAAAAGATGTAGCTATACCTAAAAATTATTGTGGCTCTGCCTTCTGTACACGGAAATCTAAATTAACCATTAACTGGATTATTTAACACTATAATAATTTACCCTGTGTGATTATTTACAGATTAGTGAGTATTGGATATGTATAAATCCACATACACAGGAGGAGAAGAGAGACTGGAGAGGAGACTTATAGTAATGCAACTGTACCTTTCCAGTCCTTCATATACTTATTTAGATCCAAGTTTTATGCCTTGTTAAGGAGCAATCAGCCTCCAGAGGGCAAGATAAAAAGTGTAACACAAGCCTGAAAAATGTGCCCTTTAGAGAGTTGTAATGACGAATACAAATCTAGTTTCGAGATGACTTAGCAAAAAACGGGACATTTCTGTGTCTGCTTAAAAGTTTGTTTATATGTCGCCTATGTATACCATAGACCTTTCCTTTTGAAGTGTGGAGGTGGAAGGACATGACATTTCCAGGACCACTGTCTTGATTCATCCCACTTACTGTCATATCTTGTTTGATACCCTACCAGAGGCATCTGAGTTAAGGATTCCTCGGTCATCCTGAATTCCCTCTAAATCCAGTGCTTTATTTTGTTTTATTTTAACTTAACACTTATTTTGCACTAGCATCTATGAGTGAGGTAAGTTATGGTCTCAATGCAAAATCAACGTGGTCGCTCAGCTACAGAATAAATATGCCTCTAATACCTGTGGCAAATTTTTATTGAGAAAAGATGAGGATTCCTCTGAGCAGTCAGTGAAATATTTTATGTCAGGAAACCACTGCTTTTATTTCCTTTCTTCGTCTTAGGAAACCCATTCGCATCCAGCCTAAAAAATAAATACCATTCAGTAGGTACGGTTCAGTGAAACAAGATGTGGACGCAATAAGGAGTTTACTACAGCTGCTCGGTACAACTGGGGTTTTCGTGGCGTATAACACTGGGTTCTTTTTTTTTTTTTCTGGAGGTAGACAGATGATTGCTCTATATCATCTAGGTTTTCAATAGTCTTGAGAAAAACAGTGCTGCAAGGTTGTTTTTCCTTGCTGCTTCTAGCCACATATAGCAACTGTTTGAATCCCTTGTAGCTGATATTTCGGGAGGCTGCATGTGGTCAGGATGCTCACTGGTTGGAGCGTAAGGAACATACTAGAATTCTTTTTTCCCACTTTACAGCAGGGAAACTGCAACAAAGAAATGTTCTCATTCTGGTAAATCATGGTCCAAAGGCCACAACCCACATGTGAGTTCAGCCAGAGGCTTAGACTTCCAGACTTCAAATCAGGGTGGTGGGGGGGGTTCATCTCACCTCATTTCAGATACCTGAAGTTAGAGATCTCACCAGCACTAGTCACCTAGGCTTCCTCTGTGGCCAAGAAAGAGACGCACTTTTGGTAGGACATTCACACCTGGAGAAGTGGTAGAAACTACTCACTGACTTCTGCTTCTCCTCAGAGTCCAGAAAAATATCTTAGGCATTGCAGCTCTTCATTAGATGGTAAGGTGATAGGAGTGTGCCTCAGTTACCCATTTGCACAGCAGAATGAATAGCTACCCGCTTCTCAAGGACGCTATGTAATATGAGAGAACTTTGAGAAAAAAAGCTACATAATTCTTAGATTGAAATTTGGGGTATGAGTTCTGTTTCTAATGAACTTTTGTTATGAAAACCACATCCCAAATGAAGAAGGGGTCTCCCAGTATGGTTATGAATTGTTTATGAGTCTGTAAACCTGTATCACAGGCCTTTTTCTTTCAAGTTTTTTGTCAGTAGCCTTTTAATTTTTACTTTACTTAAAGGTTGTGTATCGCCTAATATGCAGAGCTGAAATTGCTGCTGACTTCTAAAAGATTCTCCTCACTAGTACTTACTGGTTTGCTGGTAAAACGTGAGTTAAAAGCTGAAAGCTATTTTTTAATAACACAGTAGGTTTCATAACATGTTCTGTGTCCTGTAAAGGCAGGGACCAAGAAGTCTGGCAGGTTCCTAATTCAGTCAAGCATTTTTCTCTTAAGTTTTCCAGCCTTACATATGCACACGCATGCATATACTTCCATCTGCATATATCTTTTTCTAGCTGCATAGCTATATAAAAGGTTGTGAATATATATACACTTCATGAATGTTAAATGTGTTATTTATGTAAACATTTATAATAGAGCTATCAGACTGGGGATCCATTAGACCAGGAGCTGTTCAAAATATACAGTAAGTAATATGGGTGATTGACTGCCATTGCAGGTATATAACAGTAGGAAAAATTTATGTAGATGAATAAGTTCATCTTAGTGGAGTATTTTCCTGTTTTGCAGATGATATTGCTCCTTCCTTATTTTATTTACTTCCTACATATTATACTTCTGTGGTAGGCATCAAACGTACCCAGCAAAGTTTGTAACTGGAAAATTATCCAGTTCTTCCCAGCTGACATCTGACCATGAAGCCATAAATCAAAAAGCGGCATCTGTTAAGTTTACTGGCTTAGGTTACATTCTGGCAAAGCCTAGAGCGTAAAAGCCAAAGCTTGCTCTGGAGCCCACTCTCTACCCTGTTTGGCTTCCCATGATTTGCTTCAGGTCCTGAAGAATGCATACCTGGGGACTGTCAGCAAAGGTGCCTCCCCAGCCCTCGTAGCATTACTGTTTATGTTAGTTTTCTGAGGCTTAAACTGAGTTCATTAATCCAAACAGTAGACTGATGGGATCTCCATAATCCTCTAGTTCTTAAGCAATAAAGAATTCCTTGTGCCAGGTTATGAAAAATCTCAGACTGCTCCTGCATCCTCTGAGTCATTCCTTAAATGTCCATTTTTTATGGTTGACTTCACACAGCAAGAACTTAAAAGGTACCTTGGCTGAGAGCTGATGAAATGAGTTCGTGGCGTTGAGTAGCGACTCAGTAAATGTAAGAGCACTTTAAAAGGTACAGAAGCAAAATTGGTATTAGTTGTTGGGTGCTCAGGAGTGCTCTAAATGTCCCTTTGTTACAAAGTGTTTAGTATGTTATGACTAATGTGCTCCGTTTGAAACTGCAGGTTTATGCAACTCAGCCGACAGCTGGATGATTGTTCCCAATATCAAACAAAACCACTACACAGTGCACGGGTTGCAGAGTGGCACTAAGTACATCTTCATTGTTAAGGCCATTAATCAGGCCGGCAGCAGAAGCAGCGAGCCCGGCAAGCTCAAGACAAACAGTGAGTAACGTGAAATCCGGCACACATACGTTCTTCTGTTTTCTTGCCTTTCTTTTTAAGTTTGATCTTTGGAAGATACAATAACGCAGAGCAGCTTAACTCGTTTAAAGTGCTTCCCACAATGAAAGCCACTTATTTAACTCAATTCCAGATTGCCAGAGTCTTCAGTAGTGCAGAAATTACTTTTTTTTTTTTTTTTGAGAGAGAGATGCATCTGTAGTTTGGGCACTGGAAATATCATTTAGGAGCAGAACCATCACATGTGAAATGATTGAAAATACTCTTTTGTGGTTTTGTTTTAATGTCCTCTCTGTTCTTTTCCCTCTACAAAGCAAAACCTTTTCCTATGTTTGCAATAAAACATTTTATTTTCGTATAAAGCTCATAAGATAATTGCTAGTTTAATTTTATCCTCCAAAATGATCTCTTTCTTAGGACACTGGTAAACTTTCTTAACTCCATCCGCCTCGGTTTTTTATGGACTTCAACAAGGTGGTAGAGTAGTCAGAGATCCCACTTCAAAAAAACAATGGTTACACAAATTATTAGCAGATGTAGAACAGCAATTTTAAGACTGGTTTTCAGCCTTTTCCTTCTTGTGTCCCAGCCAATGCCTCGGTCACGTAGCCATCACGGGCAGCTCTGAGCACTGGAAAGGGAACACTGGGATTTGTGCACCCTCTGAAACCTGCTTATTGTAGGGGAGGGTGCTCGCAGAGGGGCGATACTGCATGTTGCAAGAAGGAGGCTGCAAGGGAATGGCTCGTACCCATTCCTCCTTTCCCCCTTGCTGCTATTAACCTGGCTTGCGTTTCTGTGTAAAAGGTGCTCGTGCAAACCTCACATCTGCTACCAAGAATTTGCTTATTGTTAAACCTGGTAACCTACAAGCAACCGCATAACCAGAGGACCCGTTTGGAAATGGCAGTCTTTTATCCTTTTGTGTCTTTGTGACCCAGTGTGGCACAAAAGCAATCTCTCAGGTGACTCTGAGAAATCATGTGACTGGATACACTTCAGTACAGAGAAAGCCATCCTTCAGCTACTGCTTCAGCAACACAAAAGCTACGAACCAGTTAGAGAGGCAGGCTGCAGGTATTTTACTGCTACCAAGGGGTAAGAAAAAGCAGGTAAAATGTGCCACAAATATTTTCCCATGCATTCATTTTATTCTTATTTATACTCATAGTACATAACTAAATACATGTTATGAAAGTAGATGATAACTTTAAAGCTAAAAGTACTCCTTATCTAAACCCTGACCCATCTCTGATAATGTTAATTGAGAATTAGTACTGCCTCAGTCATTTCCCATTTTAAATGTCTGCATTTTCAGATTGCCTAGAGATCTGAACCAACAGATATTGACTGTCACTATTAGATGAACTCAATTTCTTCTTACCCCCCACATTAACGCTTTCAGTTTTACTGCATGAGATATGCTTAACTGTTCCTTCATAAACTCTGAACAATTTACATCTTATTTGAAGGAGATGTGTCAGCGCCTGACACAGACCTCATGAGAGTGCTCATTTCTGTTTTCCGTGCATGTCATCAATCTTCTGCTTACATTTTTTTCCCCCTTGATATGAGAGACAGTCAGGAGGGAAAAGGGCTTTGCTGGACCACTCATGGACTCATACTTTCCTGGTTGTCTCCTGGTGGACGTAAATGATCGTTCTGCTTTTTGACACAATGAGCAAGCCTGTCAGAATTGTGGTGGGCTTTATATATCTACAGGGTTCGGTTTACCAAAAAGCTTCCTGTTATTGTCTACAAACCTTGTGCTACAGCCGAAGATACTTGCCAAGAGCAATAGCCTCAGTAACGTTTTTACACCATATTATTTGGACCAAGTTACAGTTCACTTCCTTCTTTTTAATGCACAGTATCCAGCATCACATGGGCATCCTTCCAAAGCGATCCTGAATTGTTGACTGTGCTTATTATAAATAAAGCTGTGAGTGAATGAACAGACAAGGCTAGTGCTTCTTATTTTCAAACTGATTTTGTGGGATTTGAAATCATACTTTTTTGTTGTAAAGATGAAGCTGTTATTGTGGAGCTTTACCCCCAGAGAATTAATAGAACGTAACTTATTCAAAATCTAATACACTGTGAAAAAAGCAACCCTCAGACCTTTATTAGCATGTATATTGGTTTCAATTACATGCAAGAATTAGAGTATTCAGGTTACCTCTAGGTCAGAGATAATGGGCATGATGATTATGCTGGGCTCTTTTCAGGGATTATCAACACGGGGAAGTTAGTGCACAATGAGATTGACAGTAAACTGACAATGCAGACTAGCTATTGCAGGGAGCAGAATAGGTTAGTCTATCTCGAGGACGCTTCAGGGGAGGAGATTAATACGGTTATGTAATCTTGTGGGCTTCTTAGAGGTCCTTAATCCACTCTCCTTTTCAAAATCAAAGCCAAACCATTCTTCTGCCATCTTTGTCTCTGCCTCTCTAGGTCAGCCATTTAAACTGGACCCCAAATCTGCTCACAGAAAATTGAAAGTGTCTCATGATAACTTGACAGTGGAACGTGATGAAACATCCTCCAAGAAGAGTCACACACCGGAGCCCGGAGCGTTCCACCAGCCAGGGGAGCTATGGAGTAGCTGGCAATGTGTTCATTGACAGCGGGAGGCATTACTGGGAAGTGGTTATAAGTGGGAGTACATGGTAAGTATATAAAAATATATGTGAAAAGAATTGTTAGCTCACATCAATTGTCCATGCAGGTCCCAGCACAGTTTCTCTGACAGACGCTAATAGCAGAGGCATGGGGAACAGTACAAGAGCAAGACAAACATATACAGTCATATTGTTTGTCATACTATTTTCCCAATCTCCAGCACTTTCGGATTCTGGAACTAAGTCTGCGAGATAAAGCATCTTTATATTTAGCAGCCGTCAGAGGATTTTTACTCCATGGCTGAGGATGGTTGTTTTTTGAACCCGTGTTCAGTACATTTTAAGATTTTAGTGAATTGGAGAGCTTGGAAAGTTTCATCTTATTATACAACAGAGCAAACTCTGTAAGTGTAATCATTTCTTTACTAAATGTGAAATATCTTAGCATCTTTCAGTAAGAAAAAGCCCCCGACACAATATGAGGACGGTTTGATGATCCAGTTTTACAGGGGTGGAAGTCAGATTAGCTTCTGGGGAGGGAGGGTGGAGCAGCAGAGCTGTCAGTCTGTGCCCCAGGGTATGAAGCAAGGGGCAGGAAGTGGAGGAGTGCATTCCTCCTCTTCTGAATGATCCTCTGTGTCAAACAGGGGTGGATTTCAGGGGCCCTTTAGTCAGTAGAAGAGATGTCATCCTTTGGGATTCAAAGGCAACCATCATGATGGAAGTTAATGGAGTGGAAAAATCAGTGAGGTCTTCAGGTATGCCCACTGTCTCAAATAAGAAAAATGCTGTTTGCCTGTGCCAATGCAAAGGAATGGAAATAGAGTGATTTATGATATATTAATCTCTGTTGGTTGAAAGCCCAACAAATACTGCAGTGTCTGTAGAAAGTGAGGAACTTTTAAATTTCTGTTATATATGAGAAATCAGGTATTTGCCCTTGGTGTCCATTAATGAGAACATTTTCACAATCCTTTTACCCTGCACATCTTGCCATAAATTATGGTTTGCAGAGCAAATGTCTTCACCTACAATTTTTTCACTTGGCCCAAAACCCAGTCTCAAAAAATGCTCATTTGAATTTAAAAACCACACCAACATCTGGCAAAACATATTTGGGAATGGCAAAAATGGGTTTTTTAATGTGTCCTTTGATGTTTACTCCTGCATTCCTTCTTCTGGGCCATATATTAAAGGAGCAAGGGGAGATCAGATTAGCTGACAGATAGCAGTGTATTTTAAAATCAATGAATTCCTCTGTATTCATCTGTTTGGAAGTGGAAATTTGAGGCCCACTGATTTAAACTCTGAGTTGCTGAGTGCTCAACGATTTTCCTTTTGAATACCGGAGGTGAGTGCTCCAAAAAATTACCATGGCAGCCAAACTAGAAAAAATGTGAGGAACAATAAAGGTTCCCTGACTTTGCAGACCCAAAAGAGAGATGGGGAAAGACATTAATTAAGCCTGTGCAGATATTGTGGTGAAACATGACTTAATTAGAACTTAACCAGCAAAAGTAAGAGGCTGAGGCATTCCAGTGAGTCCTGTGGGCTAACATTTGACTTCACCGAGAGACAAACATGGCAGGAAGCATTTGTTTCCTTGAGTTGTTCTTTTGTTTTGCAGGTATGCCATTGGCATTTCTTACAAGTCAGCACCGAAGCATGAGTGGATCGGGAAGAATTCTGCCTCCTGGGTGCTTTGCCGCTGCAATAACACGTGGGTGGTGCGGCACAACAGCAAAGAAATCCCCATCGAGCCCGCGCCTCACCTCCGGCGGGTGGGGATTTTGCTGGACTATGACAACGGTTCCCTTGCTTTTTATGATGCTTTGAACTCCCTACACCTTTACACTTTTGACATTACATTTGGGCAGCCGGTGTGCCCCACATTCACTGTGTGGAATAAGTGTTTGACCATTATAACAGGCTTGCCTATCCCTGACCACCTAGACTCCTCCGAGCAGCTCGCATGACTGCTAAAAGCCAAAAGGTAGGATGACGCATCTTCCCAGGGAGGCCAGGCGGCTGCCCGCAGGAGCTTGCCCGGAGCTGGTGGACCGCGTGGCTTCCTGGCTGTCGCTACCAAATCCAGCCAGAACTGAAAAGGGGAGAATCTCTCTTTTCTGTGTACTTTGTATGGAAGGACAAGAAATGGCTTTAATAATATCTTAGAACTTTCTTTTGCAGTTGGTTTTGTTTGGTTGGTTTTTGTATTTAGTCTCTTACAGGAAGATTTATAAATTATTTATAAAAAAAAAAAAAAAAAAAAAGAGAGAGAAGGGAAAGCCTGGTTTGGACACCTGGAAGAGGACTTATTTGTTTTGCACATTGATGGTCCTATTAATTAAATTTTCATCATCCCTTTGCATAATTTTATTTTACAGTGGATAAAAGCAGGAAATTGGAAGGACGAAAACTGTGCAGTGGACAAGTCAGTATATGGCAGGTTTTATTTGTACCAACGTTAGTGCTCTCATTACCAGTCTTGTTGAGTGCAAGATTTCCTAATTTCTACTTTGCACATGGGAGTGTGCAGACCAAAAAGAACAAAAATAAACAAGTGAGGAAGTGGAGCTAGCCAACAGAGCGAAAGAAGAAATTTTAATTTACTTCTGTTCACAGGGCCGTGCTCTCTCTGTTCATAAAAAACCACATGGAATATCTCCTAGAAATGTGAGTGGAAAAATCATCTAGCGATTTATTTTATTGATGGCAACATTCCCATCTACCAGTGCTTCGCCTTCATCATTGGGAAACATTGTAGAATCACTGAGGATGTGAAAGACTGATACCATCTCTGAAAATCAGCAGCACTGGAGAAGAGCAGCCAATCCAAGGTCTGACTGTAGACTAATTTGATAAAGCACGGCATCATTTAAGGATTGATTGTAATAGAAGATGTCACGGTTCTGATGGTAGACATGTGAATGCTTATTGCTGATTTTACAAGGTTCAACATAGCAAGCCCAGCCAACAACTTGGAAGTGAGACATGCGCCACTTTACCAGGGATTTTAAATTAAATACAAATGTTGCATTGTCATACAGTATGTAGTCTCTATAACAAAGCAAGGAAATCTGTTCTACATGTGCTGTACAGAGAAACACTGCAGCCGGGGTTTGCTTATAGTTATCATTGTCCTGGGTAGTTTGGGAAAGCACAGTTCTCTTTGTGAATGAGGAGTAAATAACAATTTTTCAGCATCCATAGGAATCTGCACGGGCAGGCCCTATGTTCGTCCTGGTGTTGGTGGATGATCTTCAGTGAAGGCAAGAAAGGTTGTACCTACTTTATCTCAAAGGTGAATCAGGTGCATTTTTTTTTTCTCTTTTCCTTTTACAGAATAGAAGCCCTTTGTAATTAATACAAAGCTTATGTATAAAATTATCATTTTGGGAGATGTTTGAGGCATATAACAACTTTAAAAGTGTGGGTTTTCTACGGTATTTCGTTGTTACTATGCAAGTGGTGAAAATCTGCCTATGTAGAAAAAGGATAAATGGAATACCAGCTTTAAGAAAATATTTGCTCAGTAATTTATAATCATGCTTTAGGTGTCTTTTGAAAAAGATGCCTTAATGCACTTTGTTCACTAATGGGTCCAAAATAAAATGGTCCCAAGCTCAGCTTCCTATTTCTTAAATACTGATTCTCCAGGTACAAAGCTGTACTACAGTTTGCCTTATGACGACGTAGAAAACATGAGCAAGATGAAGAATACACACATGCCTATTTGTTTTTTTCCTATTTTTAATAGAAAATAAATGCCTTTCCATGTTCCTTTGATTTCGCTTTACATGCCCTGCTAACTACTGAATTAAATGGAGAAAAGTCTGGCAGTATGTTGCTGGTATCATGGCTTTCAGTTGGGGCAGCATCCCATGGTTTACAGGTAGGAGCCACCGATCCTTCCAGAGTTGACATAAACAAGAGCAAATGTGTACATATAGTGAACTGCAGTGTTTATCATAGTGTCTTTAATAATCAAGAAATGTATGCCCTCAAAAATGAAAAAGTAAATAAATTCCCAAACATTACATTTTATAATTGAGCACAGTGTTCCCAATAAAATCTGATGTACATTGCCCAGATAGTCTGGCCTGGGATGTTTGGGATGTAGCTGAGATGGCATGAAAACTATTTTAATGAGTTGACAGAAGATGACTGATGCAAAGCAGAGATAAAAAGACGCAGGAGGAAAGAAGTTTTAATGTAGGATTATTGCAAAGTTTCTGCCTAAAAGGAAAGGGTGTATTCCCAAAGTACATGTAGCAAGGCTGTGTATCTTCTCTTTTGCCAGAAATATTAAGTCTAGAAGCTGATTTCAGTAGTGGACAAACTGAAATGACTTAAATCAATGTTTGGTCATACAATGTTGGCAAGGATTGAGCTGGATGGCAGTAGTACCACAAATTTTGGAAAGATCCCGAATGATCTCACATATTTTCATTGTAAAGATAGACTATGAGTCTAATGACAGATCATGGTTTTGGCCAATGGAAGAAGAATGGTCTGTTATCTACAGGTCTTGCTGTATCATTTTTATTTTAAATCAGAATACTTCATTTGGAGCTAAGCCACATTTCTCCAGCGGACTGTTAATTCAGTCAGTAGTCTTTGTGCATATATGTTTGTGTATATATGTACACACGTATGGGTACACACACACCAGTATATGCACAAATATAGTGTGTAATTTGTGTATATGCATACATACATATATACACACACAAACTGGCAGTAATTAGTCAGGTGTTCCTTTTTTGCTTGTTTCTTGAACAATTTCATATTCTGTATGACTATGAGGAAACAAGTTTGCTATGAATGGTATTCTTCTGGACATTTTTTAACGAACAAAATCTGTTTATTTTACAATACTTGATTCAATGCCTGATTAATCAATAAAAACATGCATTCAAAAATGTAGCTTCTGTGGTCTGTGGCATTTTGCATGGTCCATAGTAATCAATTTAAATCTGTGGGAACAGTACTCCTCATGTAAAGATAAAACATGGTATTTTAATGTAGTGTTCAGTCTTAGATGAGAGGTTTTTCCTGATTTTTGAAAATTTTGTGACTAGGAATGAAGTAACATTGTATAATGCCATGTGTAACAAAGGCAGATTTTTGAGGAATAGTCTGCTGAGATGCAAGCAATGAATGTAGTAGATAAAGCCTGTGTTGGTATAATGATTGTTTCAAAGGTGTGTTTAAAATCCAAGCTGGGATTTAGCAGTTAGAGCAAAGTATAGCACAATCTTTTTAGAAGACAGTAGCATCAGCTCAGAGTAGGCAAAGCTTGAGGTAGTGGGTCGATGGGGGACTTTTTTCTGGACTCTGAGACCAGATAAGATTTTCCATGTGTTAGGCTCCCATGTGTTAATGCACGCCTAATGGGGAAAAAAGTCATTCAGGAATGGGCTGTATGTCATAAATCATTTAGTAGACGGTCTCCAGCCCACGGTAGTTTCCCATTGTTGGCTTTCAGAGAGCAACAAAGTTGCTGCATTTTCTGCCATGTATTCATTCTTTGTCTGTTTTGGGAATCCCGTTTCTCAATTGCTCAGCGAAGAGACCCCCACTGAGCTGTGGGTCCCAAGGGTGGGAAGCATAAAAATGCCTCAGGTGTGGGTACACTGTGAAAAGCTGAAAATCTGCAAGTACAGGTGAAAACACATGCAGGTTCTTTTTATATTAGCAATAGTAGGTCACTGAACAGCAGTGTGCATCATCTGCTTTAATCATGCGACTTAATTGCAAAGACTATATTCTTTCTGTTTTAGAAAATGCAACAGGACACTACTGACAGCACAAATTAAAGTGTCAGCTCTTTAACCGGTTCATTTTGAGATGGCCAGCATTTATAGCACCATGCAGAACTATTGGCTGTGGGAGATTTCATTAAATTATTATTTGACATCGAACACAGTATTAGTATTTCTTTCTTAATTACCTTGATAAAGCAGACATGTAGTATTTCCCGGATTCTGTTTTAGTCGTGGCAGCACAAATTCCAGATAAGCCCACACACCAAAACAAAGTGAGAATTGCTAGTGGCTCTTATCTGTATCACCAAAACTGAGTCTATTTATTTTAAATGGAAAAGCTGTCTTCATTTCTGCTTTAGGAGTCAAAAAGTGTTGGACTCACACAGAAAGTACACACTGGACCATCTCAGTAACTGGCCAGGGCATGCCTGGCCTGAAGGTGATCTATGGGGCAGCTTTAGAAAGCTAGTGATAAATAAAAAACATGCACAGGTTGCTTATATAGTAATGTACTGGCAATTTTCTTGTAACACCATCTCTAATGTCTTTTCACATGCTGATCTGTCCAGTAGTGGAAGTGTGTATTCAGGTATAGGAATGTAAAATGTAGTATTTTCCTGTGTTTCCTGGATTGGTTGCCCATTTAGAAATTAGTGTGTTCAGAATAGTGTTCTGAACTTCAGCCTTAATCTTTGTGTTCTCCACCGGGAGAAAAGCCCTGGTCACTCCCAAGTGCTGATGGTGGGTGTTCTAGATTATGCTGAGCTATTCACTTTTATTGCGCTTTCTGAACTGAAAGAAACTCTCTTTACATTTTAACCTTTGATTTAGCAGTTGATTTTCATGTAAAAAAAAAAGAGACTAAAGAGCAATGATGTTAACAACACTTCAGTGTAGGTGAGACTCTAGTTCGGACCATGAGGCTTAAGGCATCTGGGTACATAAATCTCTGTGTCAGGACAGACTGATTTGTCATTCGTGTGGGAATTGAACAGTACAGGTGCAAGTATTTTCTTGTGAGGTAGGCTTTTGCATCAACTCCACTGCTGGTGTGGAATATTCTGTTTCTTCGATTTTTTTTTACTTGGTTTTCTGATTCAAGTGCAGAGCATGTTAGTAAGACTGTAAGATAATCTTTTGTTGCGTTACTAATTTTGGCAAGCCCTACAGTGTCACGTGCCTCTGAAGCCATTAACTGCAACATCACCTCCAATGAGTGGAATGAAGTTAAGCCATTGACCAAGTATTCAACTTTCCCAGGTGGGGTTCATCTCTCTTTGAGTAAGGAGCCCTAGCACAAATGGTGACACCAGTTCAAGGTGAGAGGCTCATATATTTTACAAAGATGATATAGGAAAGATACGGGCTTGAATACCATCAGTGTTGAGGCAGTTCTGGTTTAGAAACATGACAATGTATTAGGAAGGTATGAAGTCTACTTTTTTTTGGTCTTATTCTCCTGCAATGTGATCAACAGTGTCACTGTTACTACTGCCTGAGAGAGGGATGGACGTGACAAAAAAGGGAGTTCTGGAGCAGTGCTGAGAGAGGTCATTCAGAG